CCCCCCCCCCCCCAAAATGAGGTTATGCATATAAAGGGTGTTTTTGGAACGGAATAGGTGGTCCATAATTGCAGCGCAGTTACCGGGAAGAACAGACAATGACATAAAGAACTATTGGAACACGAGGTTGAAGAAGAAGCTATTTGGGAAGCAGCGGAAAGAGCATCATCATCAACAGCAGGCAACTCGTAGAGGAAACGCTCTAAAGCAAATGCAACAAATGAAGAGACCATTAGAGAATAATAATAATGCAACAAATTATGGGGCTGAGAACAACAATATTGCCATATTTTCATTAAACGAAGCCCATAACAACATTCCTTATTGGCCTCAGCAGCAGCAGCTCCCTTTGGGACCTCACTACAACCAGGGCAGCTTGCCAGCATCTGATCCAATCAACCCGATTGAAAATCTGAGCAAATTTGGAGGTCAATCCATGGGTGAAGAAAGTGGGTATAGTAATATGAACAACAATGCAAATGGGTATGGCCATTTTTTGCCAATTATGCAAGGGCAAAGCAGTAACCAAATGGTGGAGGTGGAGGTGGAGAATTATAACATGACAGGGTACGAGGATCCGAGGAGGGTTTTATGTGGTCTTGAGTTTCTGTTTGAAGATCATCATCAGATTTTGGGTACCAATGGTCATGGCTGTGACATGGGGTCTCTCCAGAGTTCTTCTTGCCCGAATTACGAACCAATAATGCTGCAAGATTTACCAACTACTGCTGAACAATATAATGCTAAGTTTGATGACTTGAGGATACTATGATCATGCCGGGCGCGATGTAAAGCAATAAAAATTGACTCTTTACCAATACTGATTTGGAGGCTGCGGTTTGGATTTTCCTTCTGATTAGAACAATAAATTTAAAAGAAAAAAAAACATAGAATATTATTATGTTTGGTTTTTCCTGTTCATTTGAAACTGATTACTATATATGATTATATTTTGTGTTCAACTTATTTCCGACCACTAGTTTTATTGTCCGAAATTAGCTGATCATAAGGTAAGCACTAGCGATTTTGCATTCATTGTCTCGTCAAATTCTCTGAATTTACTCAGTTCTTTTGCTTCACTTGTTCTATAATTCTCTGTTGAATTGAAAAGTGCTTGAAATCTGTGAAGGATTACAGCTACAACTTCATTGGGATCTGTATTTTGACCTCAAACATGAAATCTCTCGAAATTAGGGCATTACCTAACATTGGTTGCTTTAGATTTTAGCAAACATAAACCCTTAACTTTTTTTTAATTGTATATATATATGAGTTGAATCTTGCTCATATATGGTTGGTTTTCTTTTGACAAATGGGAAAGCTTAAGAAATTTGGATATTGGGTTACATTATTATAATCATTCTTAGATAAGGTTTTCAAATTTGGGACTAAACAAGAGTTGAATTCATGTCATTTTGTATAGTCAAGTCAAAATGATGAGTACCCTAAAGATTTTTTTTTAATTAAAAAACTGAAACCCTAAGTTTTGTATATGATTTTAGGGTCCCAATCGGCATCCAAAGAAAATCAATCCTCAAACACATGAGTTTATATGAAACTCAGGCTAGAAGATATGGTTCTCTTTGGAATTTTCATTTGGAGGTTTTTAAAACGTGTTTGTTAGGGAAAAGTTTCCATACCCTTATAAAAAATGATTCGTTTTCCTCTCGAACTAATGTGGAATCTCACATTTTCGACTAAGATCAAAAGTTTGAACGGAGTTAATATCAATTTCTTTCTCTTTGTATTTGAAAAGGGTATGGATTAATGCAAAGAAGGATTTGAAACTAAGAGCAAGAACAATAATAAGCATTAAAGTGAGAAAAAGGTAGATGTTTGCATGGCAATGGAGTTTAAAGATCAGTGGTTTGTGGTTGGTGAAGGCGTTGCAGGTGAAGCCGCCTAATGTTTATGAGTGCACATGTGTCTCACTTCAAAGTCCTTTTAGAAGGTCAAAGGAACTATGCTTATGTGCTTATACTTGTCTGACTAAAAGTATGGTAATTTTGAATAGTATTAAGAACAAATAAAAGTTACTTTTGGGGTAGTTCAAATTAAGTTGAAACTTTGAGGAGCTTGACTGCATTATATGTCATCATGAGTATATAAATATATACATACATATAGTTTGATATTTGAGTTGAAAGAAATTTGGACCATATAATTGTGACATAGAATCATAGGGTAAATGCATAATGCTCAAAGGCGTAGGCTGTGGGTTCTTACTTTTTTATTGTAGATTTAGAGCCATTATTCAGCAGCCATTATCTTCTTTTTTAGGGTTGGTCACACTCCTATTTAGCTTAATCAAAGAGAGGTAATGGTCAAGATTCCCAAGATTTTAACTCTTTATTTATGAGACTCTTCATAATGTACAACCATGAAATCATACTCGTATTTATACGCTTTTAGAGTAAATAGTGAAGTTTTATGGGTATATAAGTGAAACACACAATACTTCATTCATACGAGATTTGTCAAATGAAATCAAAAGTAAAACCTAGATGGGTTCGTCCAATTTTTTAAGTAGTCGATTTGAAAGCATGGTCGATCAACCCGTTAAAACATGGTCGATTTGAAAGAAAAGTCTAAAGAGGATAAAATTGGCTACTGGCGAGACTTGGTCTCTTACCAGAAAAGTTTCCGGTAGACTTAAATAAATGAGAGTACAATTCAATTTGGGTGTCATTTTGATTAAAGAAAAGAGAAGATAATTTTTTTAAAAAAAAATTAAAAAATATATTAATATAAGCACAAGTAATTTGAAAGTGAGTAAAGTTGGAGGGAATATCCCTAAAGAAGAAGAAGCAGAGCAGAAGATGTCCAAAACAAAAAACCAAAGAATAAAAAAGGGATAAAAATTATATTTATAAAAAAAAAAATTAAAAATCAAAATAGTGTTCCGTGATTGGGGCAATATTCTTGCGCAGGTTATGCCAAAACCAACAGCCAAACAATGACTTCCTTCACCACCTTTTTTTTAAATAATAGTAACAGATTAAATATTATTTTCCCCCTTTTTTGTACATTAATTGCGTGTATTATTAAAAAATTAAACTGGCCTGCCTTGCTTTATTGCTGGGTTATCTGAATAATTCGTTCTTAATTTGTCTCTTATAATAAACTCTGATTATGACACCCATTGCCATGGAAATAATAAATTTTATTTTTGTATTAAAAAATTCAATCATAATATATATTTTTATTTAAATCAGAATTCCATATGATTTCCTTTTATTCTACACCAATTTAGACACACCTCTCAAAATTTTGAATTTAGATATGATTATGAGGTTGATTGTTTATAATAGTTTGATTTATCGTCTCTTAAACTTGTGAGTATTATCATAAGCTGATAAGACAAATGTGAATTGTTGTGAGCTATGCCCCAAAATTGTCCCTTGGTTTAGCAATTTGTAAGATAGCAGCCATTTTAGTCTTGGATTATATGCGTGGGCTTGGGCCTTGTGCTTCCAATTGGGCTTCTAAACTGGACCGCTTTTGTTATCATTCAATATAAGCCCAATTCGTCTTATCTTTCAATAGGAAAAACAAATTGTATTAATTCTCCCTAAAATTTCAATTTTTTTGGAGTATTAAAATTATTATTAATCCTGAACAATATTGAATATTTTTACTAAAAACTCATAAATTTAAACCAACCAACCTAATATTGAGGTGTAATAAAAAATGAAATTGTAAATTTATGATAAAAGTATATTTTTTAAATAAATATTTAAAATATTTGAAGATGATTTTCATCCATAATTAATTACTTTTAACTCGTTTTTATCTAATCACTATATTTATTGTTTTGTAGTTCAAATGAGGAGAGGGAGGGGTGGGCCTGAAAATTGAATTTTAATTAAAAACTATATTTTTAGGGCAAATAGTTATAACGACATGAAAGACTTGACCATACATAGTGTCATTAATATCAAACTCATGCAATGAATTGATTTATTTTAAGCAAGGGATATTGATTTCAATCTTCTCTAACTTAGATAAATTACTTAACATTTTGACTTACATTTTGAGTTATTGTTGATAACGACGAGTGTGGTGTCTAAAATATAATTATTACCATCGTCCTTAAAACAAATAAAATAGGTTAGGTATTCATTAGCTAAATAAAATTAGCTAAATAAAATAATGGCAAGAAAGTCATATAATGTAATGGTAAGACAAATAGAATACAGAAATAAAAATTGATTTATTATTATTTATAATAGAATATATATACACATATATTTATATGTCAAAAATCTCCAACTCACATTTATCTAACCAGAATAAATTACTACCCACTTCCTTCCCATTATTCGTTTAAATGGAAATTTTTTACTGTATTTAGTGTGGGTCCACACATGGCTTTAGTTCGAATAAATGGACAGCTTTGTTGGTAATAATTTAGTTTTTGTACCTATATAACTATTTAATTCTTAAAATAATTTAGTATTTGTATTTAAAATTTGTAACATTTTATTTATTTTCATAAAAATATTACTAAAATTTGATGAAATTTCTTACATGGGGTAGGGCTGATAATTAGAGATCTGATTTTGGACATTGATTTTAGGATTTGCGTTAAATTAGGTACACCAGTGGCACTTATTCGGTTGGCGGTCGGTCCGGTGAGTGGTGAGTACATCATCAAAGAACCCACTTAGTTAAGGACGGCCGTCTCTTTACAACAGCAGGCTTCGGCCCTACAAAGGCCTTAAGACGACGCATGGCCACCGTCAAAGTGTGTTCCGACATGTTGGCAAAGCACATCCTGAACCAACCCGGTTCAGAGCAATGACATGCTGAACCGGGTGACACATTAATTCCAACCTGGGACAAAATCCTTTTCCAAAGCTCCATTTCCTCTTCGAAAGTCCCGGACTTGAGAAGATGCCTCATATCCACCCAACAAAACAGACCCGCATTCCCTTTCAAGCACCGGATTCCGGCCTTCTGGAGCCCCGACTCCAGCAACCCTTTCCTCTTCCGGATCCGTCTCTTCGTTTCCTCCATGTAATTCCTTCGGAATTTCTCGTCCCCCAGCATTTGAGACAGCAAGTACTGCGTCTGAGACGACACCAGGCCGAAGCTTGACATTTTGGTAGCCGCAGCCACCACTTTCGGGTTGTTTGAATAAATCATACCTACTCGGAACCCGGGTAGGCCCAGATCCTTGGACAGGCTGTAAACCACGTGGATTCGGTCCCATATTGAGGATTTTTTTAGGCTATCGTCCATTATGGTTCTGAACTTTGGGGTCTCATAAACTGTGGCGGAATATATCTCGTCGCTTACAATGTGGATTCCTTTGGCTTTGGCGAAATCCACCACTAAATTCAGCTCGTTCCGGCTCATTGTAGTGCCCAATGGGTTTGATGGGTTCGTGATTAAAACCCCTTTCACTCGTAGATTCAGCTTTTCGGCTCGTTCCATGGCCTCCTCCATGGCCGCTGCTGTGATTCTGAACCCGTTTGAACTCCAACAGTGAATTGGAATTATTTGAACATGCGTACGCCATTTTAGGTCACGGTCAAACCTGCTCTTTCGAATCCACGTGTTATTATGAAGCACTTACACTAGAGCAACCTTATTGAATAATTGTCTTTTCCTCGAATTGTAGGCATGATTTTATGCAAATATTATAGAGTATTGTGCATAGTTTACGTGGAACATGACAAATAATTGAGTTTTTTTTTTTTTTTTAATTTTAATTAAAAAAAAAAAAAAAGGAAAAAGGTTCGTGATAATAGGGTTAACCTACCCTGGATAGTAAGGAGTGGGAACAAGGAAAGCATCTCCAAGTTCGGCAAGACAAAACATTAGGATCTCATTGGCAGAAGTTGCACCAGCGGTGAGGACCAGATTATTCACATCAAACTTCACTTTGTTTCCTCGTATTTCCGCCATCAATTCAACCAGCACCTATTATTTACACACAATTTTCCATTAAAACTCATCTCAACAAATCAAAAGCAAAATAAAACGAAGAAAGTAACCTACTTTTTTAAAAGCTGGCAACCCATGATAGTTTTGAAATAGAGCCAATTCTCTAAACACGGATTCTCCATTTCGTCTCAATCCCAAAGCGTCTGGATTATTGGCCAGCCACTTCTCCAATTGGTCGAAACTCAGCTGCAAAATATTATATTTTTACATGCAGTAAATTTATACACGTAAAAAAGAAACACAAATATGGTTAGTTAGTAGAGTGAAAAGGAATGGGGTCAAAATTACCTCGTTTTCGGCGAGACCCATTTGGATAATTCCGGTGGGGTTTCGGGTAGGGTGATAAGGGTTCTTCTCGTACTCTTGCCATCCAATGAAATAGGAAGAGTCCTGGCCATGAGAATCATGGCTAGCTTTGGTAGACAACATTGCCATGATAGCTAAACTAGGTGAATTCAAGAGCAAAAGTTGGCTGTCTTTTTAGCTACTTAGATCGACACTAGACGAGGGCGACGGTATATATAGAGCCACAGGTATTGCTATTGAAAATTTGTGTGCTTGTGTGCGCAATTTAGAGTGCCATTTTATATAAATAGGGACGGGAGAGTTTGAGCGGTTAGTCAGTTTTGGGAGTTTTCTTTTTGACTAATTGCCTCTCTCTCACACTCTTGTTTTTGGTTTTTTTTTTTTTTTTTTTTTTTTTTTTTTTTTTTTTTTTTTTTTTTTTTTTTTTTTTTTTTTTTTTTTTTTTTTTTTTTTTTTTTTTTTTTTTTTTTTTTTTTTTTTTTTTTTTTTTTTTTTTTTTTTTTTTTTTTTTTTTTTTTTTTTTTTCCTTCAAACTTTATTTGAATACATGATTCGATTATGGGTTGGTGCTTCTCCAAGTCAAATCCTCAAGATTTTAGGTCAAATGTTCTTTCGTCTCTAAACATATTGAGTTGTCTGATCAGCTCGTGCATTCATTGATCACACGTGACATACCCATTGTTGGATTAGACTTGAAATTAAGTTGTAAACTAATTTTAATTATAAAGGGTTGTGCCTACCAATGACCGTTCAAGTGTACTGAAAAGTCGAAATGTAAATATATGAAATCCCACATCGATTGGAGACGAACACAATATTTTTACAAGTGTATGAAAACTTCTACTTAATAGACCCGTTATATACCTACGAGAGATATAAAAGTTGATTATAAGAACAAAAGAATAAATTTGGGTAGGCGTGGGATGTGGAGAGAAGTTGGGTATGTTTTTGGATAGTGAGAGGAACAAATATGGTAAGCCGGTGGAATTCAAGCCCCCACTCTTTTTTCTTTTCTCTGCTCTTTTTTTTGTGGATTGATCCACGTGGCTTTATTTAAGAATACACGTTATTGATAGTATTATAACACTTCTCTCTTTAACTCTTGATATTGTCCAACAAATGATGGTATGTAATTTATAATACTGTACCGTCCAAAAAATATGTCTACTATGAGAAGGTTTTATCGACGCTCCTTCTCTAAACTGTTTTTGGAATAATTAACAAAGGTAAAATTTGGAAGTTGGGGAAGCCTTTCATTAGTCGGACTGCGCCCTGTGCGGTCTGAGAGGTGCAAGTGGTCCACGGACCACGGTGTCTTACAATGCTCTGGCACAATTTTGCGACCACAAGGAGGTCATGCCACGTGTCATGGGTGAGAAGAAGAACATGGGTGGTCCATGGGGATTCCTTCAAGGCTTATCTTTTGACTTTCAACCCTTCCAGCTTGTCCCCCAGAACTAAATTTTATATCTTCCATGTTCCTCAATATTACAAATCAATTCTTAAATATTAAAAAATATTCATAAGAATCACTTTATTTATTAAACAACCATAAATTAATTCCAATTAAACATAATTTATTATTATTGTGCTCTGAAATTTGAATATAAACATTTTAGGACATAGAGAGTGTCATGAGAACCATCAATTTTTAAAAATTATGTGTATTTATTTAATTACATTTTACCTTTATTTCTTTATATTTTTTGAGTTAATAAGTTAATAAATGAACATTCTTAATTAATCAAAACTTGAATTTAGAAAATTGAACCAACAAATAGATCAAATTGAATTAAAGGCAGTTACAAGAATACTGGAATACAGTCAATGTAAAATCCAAGCAGTAAAAAATGTGAATCAAGGTAAATTTGATAACAATATAAATGTTGATGTATGGCTGATTTGAAAGTCCTACAAATTCTAGTGATTTGAAAGTCTCCACGTCATATCTTGTGTAAGCCATTTTCAAAATTATTTATTACTAAATTAGAAATTGGACTCATAAATATCAATGAAATGACACAACTATATAAATTTCAATACTTAGCCTTAATTTTTTTGACTTTAAAGATAGGAAAACGTATTCATACATAAAATTTACAAATTCACATCAAAATGAAATACACCGTATAAGGTATGCAATAGCTTCGGTCTATCAAACAAAATCTTATATTGATTAAGAAAGACAAAGATACGTAGTATATAAGTGAGAATAATTATCTTCATTGACACGAGACCTTCTAAGGTAATTCTAAAACGGGATGAAATTTATGCTAAAAATGTAAAAATATGTAGAGGTTGGTCGTCTTGACATGCGGATTTAGATAGTCAATTCACTTTTTGCAAAAAAAGGTTGGATTAGAAAACAAAATATTTACTTAGTTTGTCACGTTAAAATAAGATGTAAATTAAAAAAATAAAATACATGTCCTTTGACAACTACACGAACTTTAAAAAAAAAAAATTTGTCTCAAACGTCTAACCGTATAAAACTGTTAATCACTTCCACAAATAGTTTCGCCGTGTCAACTCACTCGGTTATCCCACCAAAATTTTGCACATGTTAATCTGTTCTTTGGTGGAGTATTTTGTGTTATTTGTTTATTTAGAGAAATTAAAAAAAAAAATTTGATTGAGAAAGATGCGGGAGAGAGAAAGGTGAGTTTGCAGTGGCAGTGTAATGTATGAGTCAGCTACTGCGAGAGTGCCAAACTTTGAAAGGGCATCGGGGGTGAATTGTACTTCGTTTGGGAGGTTAATAATGAGTGGCATTTGAGTGGGAACAGAAGAGAAGGAATAAGGTTTGAAAATGGAGAAAAAGAAGCGAGAAATAAGAACAAATTGTTTTGTTTTTTGGGCTTGTCTGCAAATTCATTGCTGCAAGTGTCGGTGGCGAAGAAAAAACTGGAGCATTTTATTCGGTTTTGTGGAAAGTGTTCTTAGGGTTGCATGTCTTTTTGTATCAGACATTCTAAGCTTTAAATGGAAAGCCACTGTTCCCCATCACTCCCTTTTGTAGGCCCGCCCTTCTTCTCCGCGCTGAGTTCTTCCCCTCCACATGTGCCCCGCTCCATCTTCCACTTCCCTTTACTATATCCATTATTGTTGAATTCCAGCACACCTCGGTGATTAATGAACACTCTGGTTGGAGGATTCTGTACTTTGGATCAGATGTTTATCCGGAGAGAGGACGAAGAGATAGTGTTAATAATTGGGGGAAACAAATCAAAAGGTGAGGTCATGTTAGAGTTAATGGAAGGCATCATAAGAAGTTTGAAGCCCTATCTTGTGTAGATTATGTTTTTTTTTTTTTTTTCTCCTATAATTATGTTTAAATCCTAAATGAAAACAATAGACAATGTTGTTTGGATGGAGCTGGAGTTCTATTAAATGGAATGATTCACGACAGCTAACAGAAATGGAATGTTTTTTTTTTTCTTTTGGCTTTTATGTCATTTTCTAAGCTCTTATGGATTGACTTTTTTGCTGTTGTTAATGACAAATAACGCATCCAAACATGGCCTTGCCATAAATGATATGACAGAGACTTGACATGAAAGCTAGAGATTAAAAAAATTAAACGAGAGTAAATAATCACGAATCTCAGATAACCTCTTTAACTATGGACAAGGGAACGATTAGTGAGTACAAGAGACGAGTTTGTAGCTTAAATTTTGGAGGAGGGTCGCTTAGAAGCCTTAACCAAGACATCATGAATTCGCCCACCAAACCCTAATCGTAAATTTGACTTGATTGTCAAGGACCCAGATAACTATAGAACTGGCTTACAATTATAAGGATCATTGGGGAGTTTACTAGTTATCTTCCTCTTAGTGAACATGGCACGAGCGGAAGGGATTGTGATATTCAAGTAATGAATGAACTGAGACCACATCTAAATAAGAGCGATCTTGAGTATATAATAAATACGAAAGACTTAAAAAGAATTGAAAGTCACTATCTATATCAACAAGGTATATCTTTCTTTTTAGTGACTCAATTATAGAAACTTCATAGTTAAGCGTACTTTACTTGTAGCAATTCTATGTTTGATGACTAACACTCGTGTTAGTTTGTGGGATTAATCTCCACTCGTAGAAGCGAGGAGTAAGTAACATGACCTTGTTGCAAGGGTGTCAAATCCGAATTTCAAAACCTAATCCTAACCCTGAATCCAAATTGTAGGTTTGGATGGTTACGAAGATTTGGTGTAACCTTAACTAGAATGTATGAATTAAGACCAATTAATTTAAGTTGGGGAGAAAAATAAAAAGTATCTCCAAAAAGAGAAAGGGAAAGAAGAGGAATGATGGAGAACAAAATTGATGGATATTTGGTTGCGTAGGTAAACAAGTGTTGAAATTGATGCAACAGAGAAGGAAGTGGAGGAGGGTGGGGGGGGAAGAGAGGCAAACAATTATAGGAGTTAAGAAACTAAAGTAAAGTGAAAAATTCCCGACAGAAAAGACTGATTTGAGCTCCACCATGAAGAAAAACAAGACAAGAGAAAGAAGGAGCATGAGTTTCTCTTTTATTTATTACTTATTCCGACAGGTCGAGATAAAAGTCCAAAGCCTTTACCTACAACTTTAGAGAATGCTGTCTATTCTTCTGTTTTGTGTGAGCTGTGTTCCTCGTAGTATAGGGAGTAACAACAACCTCTTTAACTTTTCCCCCCTTATCTTCAACCACTCAGTCACCCCTTGTTACCAGCCTCCTACCTCTCCATCCTTAATTATAACCACAACAATCAACCTTAAAAACAATGTTTTGCAATTCAAATGGAATCTTTAACTTCTAGTCATATGAAGAACAATCATGTCTCTATCTCAAAAAGTTTAATTTAAACCCATCAAATATGTACCTATACATGTACATAACAATAGCATATAACCTATTGAACCAATGAAAGTTACAAAAGGGTCGCATCAATAGGGTAAGCTAATATTTATAAAAATATCATCTTGATTTAACAATTAATTAGAAAATTCATTTTTTTTTTCTTCATATTAATGGCAGACTCTTCAAAAACATTAAAAAAGCATAATTTATAGTTGATAATAATAGTGGTTGGGGCATTGGGTTGGGAAAGTGGGAAAGCTTTTCATGGTGAGACCCTACTGATGGGTGCTTTTAGTTGGCCCTTTTCTCTCGAAAATGACAGTCGTTTAGATATTGAAGATGAGGATGAATATCCAATAGGTATATGCAATGTGTGTTGGCCTTCCCTTTTTCGTCTACACACCTGGTTGGATTCCCTCCGTCCACGATATCAATACACTTTCATTTGTATGTATCATATCAATTACAAATTAATTCGAAATCAGCGTCACAATGTGGTTGATACACTTAATTATTCTTTGGTATAATTGGTATTATTGATTGTAAGTAGAGGAAGAGAAGAAGAGCGTGACATTAGCAACAAACAAGACAAGTAGACAAGTAGACAATTATATATTACATATTGTATATGTCATGTTTATATCAAGGTAGGGTTGGGCCGTTAATCAATTAAGGTAAAGAATCTGTTTGAGGTTAGACAGCAAAGTGTACATATAACCCACCATAGATTCATCAAAATGGAAACAAAGAAAAAATAAATAAAGGAATTTTTTTACGCCACGTAACCATTATATACATATAGTTAACCCAAAAAATAAAGTGTGTAGGACAAATAATGATGGAAAAATGGAAAAAAAAAAGTTCATAACATCCACTAGTGAAGGAGCTGTGGATGAATATAATAATAATAGTAAATATGTATTTTCATGCATAGATACATAAATAGGGAAACATTTATCAAATGTTGGAGGTTGGTATTGAACAAAAATAGAAATTCTTATCCATAGGAGAACACTGGTCCAACACTCCAAGTAGTGAGGATAAATCAATATTCTCACTAACTATACACATTTTGACTAGTCGACTCATTCTATGTCTTCTTTTTATTATATATATTTTATATTTATTTCAATTCCCTTCATTGAATGTGGTGTGTTAATGCATCTTATAACAAAACCAACCAAAATAGTCTTCAAAATAAACATCTGCTGCTCTCTTTCCTTACCATATGTTACATATGTTAAATGCCATGAATTTAAAATAAATGTTTTTTTGTTCTTAATGATTTGATATTTGAATTTTAATTTGTAACGATTTAGTTTTTTTTGTTTTTTAAATTTGTAATAATTTAATGTCTGAATTTGAGCGGATAATAATTTAGATTTTGTATTTTTTAAATTTTAGATACTATTGTAAAAAATATCATCAAAAATTTACTTTTGATCGGACTGAATAAGGAGATGAATAAATATGAATGAAATAATATGGGCTTGGGCTGGGATTGTAATCGACATTGTATGTCGTGGCATGAATGAAATGAAATGAAGCCATTAGGCCCATTTTTAAAATGGGCTATATTTGAGCCACTACTCCCCTTCATGGGCTGCTTAGGTTGGACTACGAAACCATTAGTCCGATTTTGTAATGGGCTATATTTGAGCCACTACTCCCCTTAATAGGCTGCTTAGGTTGTACTATGAAACCATTTGGTCCATTTTTAAAATGGGCTATATATGAGCCACTACTCCCTTTAATGGGCTGCTTAGATTGAACTACAAAATCATTTAGCCCATTTCAAAATGGGCTATAATTGAGCAACTACTCCATTTAATGGGCTGCATAGGTTGGACTACAAAACCATTTGGACCATTTATAAAATGGGCCAATTGGTTTCGTTTTCCAACCTAAGCAGCCCATTAAGAGGAGTAGTGGCTCAAATATAGCCCATTTTGAAAATGGGCCGAATGGTTTCATAGTACAACCTAAGCAGCCCATTGAGGGGATTAGTGGCTCAAATATAGCCCATTTTAGAGATGGGCCGAATGTTTTCGTCGTCCATCCTAGGCAGCCCATTAAGGGTTTTTGTCGTAAAATTAATTCATAATTTATAAATCAAATTTATTAATTTCATCGATAATAAAATTTACTAAAAATCATATTTTTCCAATTATTTTTAAATTTCTTTGAGAGAAAAATGAAAAATGAAAAAGTATATATAACCTGTGTTTTCCAGTTTCCAGAGTCGGGGTCGTCCCAAAACTTCGTTGCGCTGAGCGTAGAATCTCGCCTCAAACAAAACTACGTAGCTTCTAATTCCCACCTTTCATCCCTGAATTCGATTTCATCTTCGTCTTCTCCTCTGGTTTCGATCAAACCCGTCCGAGCGCAGGGTTTGTTTCTCGAGGCGGTGTCGGTAAGGGAGAAGAGCGAAATTGAAAAGACGGGGGGAGAAACAAACCCTAAACAATGCTTCTAAGGTTTCGAATTCGGACAACATCTACTACTACAATCAGCTGAACGTGACTCTTGCATCGAAAGGAGATGACCGATAACAATGGCAAACCGGATAAGGGTAATCAATGGCAATCGTCAACACCACCGCATCAAGAGAAAGCGGAGGACTTGAAACTCTGGGCAATTCTACTTTTCGGTTTAATCGGTGCCTCTGCCACCACTCTCGCCGTGAGTCTTATCGCACTTTTCGTTATTTAGTCTATTTATTGCTGATTCAATTTTAGTTCTCTTCGTTCATGCTCATGGAATTTTAGGAGTTGAGTTACATTTTCATTAACTTTCTTTAAATGAGAAATTACAATAGTGATGGGAAATATTAATTTCGATCTAGTATGAATTTCTTTACTCAAATTTCATTGAATCAGAAGGCCAGCATCAGTATATGCTATTGAACTAATCCTGACTTTCATGAATTGATACGACAGCTCTCATTAATAATGAATGATAAGAAATTACCTGAATCTGTGTATGCGAGTAAATTTGTCAATGGACTGATTACTTGAATGCACTAATACGTGGTGACATAAAAAAAATTCCTGATATACTTGGATACGAGTTCCATCAAGTAGTTTCTCTCCCTGAAGTTGCTGCTTAATCGACTTGCTGCTAGATTACCCAATTTGACAGTGGTTGTTTTTGGGCAGATTGGTCATCTGCGGAGAACTGGTGATTGGGTATATACTCAGGTATATGCGTGACTGCATTTAATTATGCTGTTCAATTTTTGCAACTCGTTTGTGAAACGACTGCTGTGAGGGAGATAAATATATATTGATAAGAGCATGGCACCTATAATCATATCACTTAGAAACAAAAACTTGCACAAAAGAAACGAAAGGAAAGGATTTAGCGATATAATCTTGAAATCTGGTAGCTGATATTATTGTTTTATTGAACAAAAGTTGAGCAGGTCACAATCATCACAGGGTGGAGGAAGTGGTCGTTCTTTCCGGTCATCGTTTCAGGAGGAAGCATGGAAAAGGTATAATCGTAGGCTGCAAGAGGAATATGAAGAAGAAATGGAGAGGGTGGTAAGAATTCTTTATTTTTTTTCCTTTCATTTTCTGTCCAGCAAGAACAGTGTCTTGTAATGTTACTCTATTATTTCTTAAACTTCTAAGACCTTGGAATTTATACTGCTTTCTTGGTGAATTTGAATTTGAAATTTCAAGAGAAGCTCTTGTTATGCTTTTTTGGCCGCAATCTCATTAGTATTCAACATATACCAAAAACTTTGGGCCTTGAGCCTATCTCCTAACATCCCAAACCCCACAACACTCTTTGGAGTTCAAAACTTCCAACGTCCGACTCACCATGACTGATTTTATCTTCTTCGAAATTCCACTCCCCCTCTCCCCGTTCAAGCCATTTCTCGCCGTATTTTATTTCTTTCTAACTGGATTCTGATATCTCATCCCTTTTCCTTTTGGGCTGATTGGATCTCATTGTGCACTGTTTGATTTAGGAGCGCATAAGGCGCATGCAGAATGTATTCAACAGAGAGAGGAACAAACACAAGAGAGGCTACGAAAGGTGGGGAGAGAATGGTGGTGGTGCGTTTCATCAACATCACCAGCGAGATGATTGGTATTGGAAAGCCGAGACGTTCTACAGAGAACAAAGTAATAACTATAAGGAAACTCCAAGAGACAGAACAAGCTACTTGCTATCGCATCATTATACAGTTTTGGGTCTCAACAGGTGAATTTAGTGTGTGATAATATTGCTTACAATTAAATTATGGATATTTTTTCTTCCCCTCCAATTTTTGTTAGGATTAACCTACCAATCGGGTTTCATTTCATCTGGCACTATTCCACTTTTCTATGTTGCGGGGTTAGTTATGAGGTTATCTTCCATTCTGCTGGACCATAGAAAAAGCTTTTATGGTCCAATAGATTTAGTTCCAATTACCTGTCTTAATGACATCGTGCCTTAATGTCTGCTTCAGGTGTCGAAAAACACCTTATACAGATGCTGAGATTAAGGTATATTCCTTAATTCATATAAGCTCCTATGTTACTATTGTTCTAACCTTTTGTTATCAGTTTCTGTGAATTATTTTATTATTCAAGTCGTGGGTTGTGAATTGAACTATTCATGGTCACAGACAGCATTCCAATCCAAGGCGAAGCAGTTTCATCCAGATCAGAACCAGGATAATAAAGGTAGGAACATAGAAGATGATCAAACATCATTGTATCATTTTTTTTTTCTTTTCGTTTAATTTTAGATATTCATCTTTATGTTCTACTATAGCCTCTTGTGATCACTCTGTTGCAGAGGCTGCTGAGGCAAAGTTCAAAGAGGTGATGACATCTTATGAGGCCATAAAGTTAGAAAGAAAGAGCGGTTGAGCATAAGACTTGACCACACCTCTAGTCGACGGGTCAGAGTTTCAGCACACCATTTTAACAGTACGACATATTTGTGGTTTTTTTGTTGAAATTCCCCCTCGTTAATCGTGTAAATTATTAAGAGGAATTGAGTTTCTTGTAGTGTTATGGCAACATTAAAGTGGGTATTAATATGAAGGGTTAAAATATTGATGTTAATATCAATATCGACTCTTCAATTTTACCGACACATCGATGGGCATATCGATGAAGTACGGATATTGACGGGGCTGCTTAGGTTGGACTACGAATCCATTCGGCCCATTTTTAAAATGGGCTATATTTGTGCCACTACTCCCCTTAATGGGCTGCTTGGGTTGGACTACGAAACATTTTGGCCCATTTTTAAAGTGAGCTTTATTTGAGCCACTACTCCCCTTAATGGGCTGCTTCTGTTGGACTAGAAACCCATTCGGCCCATTTTAAAATGGGCTTTATTTAAGCCACTACTCTCCTTAATGGGCTGCTTGGGTGGGACTACGAAGCCATTTGGGCCATTTTTAAAAATGGGCTGTGATGTTGGACTACGAAACCCTTCGGCCCATTTTAATGGCCTGCTTATGTTTGACTACGAAACCGCTTGGCCCATTTTTAATCGGCTGCTTATGTTTTACTAAGAAACCATTCGGCCCATTTTAATGGGCTTTATTTGAGCCTATGCTCCTCTTAATGGGCTTCTTATTCGGAGTACGAAAAAAATTGGCCCAATTCTTTAATGGGCTTTATTTGACCCACTTCTCCCCTTCATGGGCTGCCTATGTAATTGGCCCATTTTAAAAATGGGCTATAGTTAACCCACTACTCCCTTTAATAGGCTTCTTATGCTGGATAACGAAACCATTTGAGCCCGTTTTAATGGGCTTTTTAATCTGACTACGAAACCAATTGGCCCAATTCTTTAATGGGCTTTATTTGACCCACTACTCCCCTTAATGGGCTGCCTATGTAATTGGCCCATTTTTAAAAATGGGCTATAGTTAACCCACTACTCCCTTTAATTGGCTTCTTATATGTTAGATAACGAAACCATTTGTTCCATTTTTAATGGGCTTTATTTGAGCCTCTACTCCCCTTAATGGGCTGCTTATGTTGGACTATGAAACCAGTTGGGTCCCTTTTTAATGGGCTTTATTTGAGCCTATGCTTCTCTTAATGGGCTTCTTATTCGGAGTACGAAACCAATTGGCCCAATTCTTTAATGGGCTTTATTTGACCCACTTCTCCCCTTAATGGGCTGCTGATGTAATTGGCCCATTTAAAAAATGGGCTATAGTTAACCCACTACTCCCTTTAATAGGCTTCTTATGTTGGATGACGAAACCATTTGGGCCCGTTTTAATGGGCTTTATTTGAGCTTCTATTCCCCTTAATGGGCTGCTCATGTTGGACTACGAAACCGTTTGGCCCATTTTTAATGGGCTTTTTATGTTGGACTGTGAAATTTTTGGCCCATTTTTAATGGGCTTTTTATGTTGGACTAGGAAACCGTTTGGCCCATTTTTAATGGGCTGATTATGTTGGACTAGGAAACCGTTCGGCCCATTTTTAATGGGCTGCTTATGTTGGACTAGGAAACCGTTTGGCCCATTTTTAATGGGCTGCTTATGTTGGACTACGAAACCGTTTGGCCCATTTTTAATGGCCTTTATTTGAGCCTATGCTCCTCTTAATGGGCTTTTTATTCTGACTACGAAACCAATTGGCCCAATTCTTTAATGGGCTTTATTTGACCCACTACTCCCCTTAATGGGCTGCCTATGTAATTGGCCCATTTTAAAAACGGGCTATAGTTAACCCACTACTCCCTTTAATGGGTTTCTTATGTTGGATAACGAAACCATTTGGGCCATTTTTAATGGGCTTTATTTGGGCCTCGACTCCCCTTAATGGGCTGCGTATGTTGGACTATGAAACCAGTTGGGCCCCTTTGTAATGGGCTTTATTTGTGCCTCTGCTCCTCTGAATGGGCTGCTTTTTTTTATTAGGAAACCAATTGGCCCAATTTTTTAATGGGCTTTATTTGATCCACTACTCCCCTTAATGGGCTGCTTATGTTGGACTACTAAACCTTTGGCCCATTTGTTTAGGATAATATAAATGACAAGGTAATGGTGAGTACTAAATTGATTTTTTTTTAGGGATTACTCTGTTGAAAGTTCCCAAGCTGTTTGAAAATACATTAATGTTGGGGTTTCTAGAAGGAATTAAGAACACATTTACATATTCCTGGCTCCTGTTCAAAAGTAGACAGGTTTATTAATCCACAATTAAAATGAAAATCTAACAAACAAAAAAGTGATTTGTCTTCCCTGCAATGCCCGACACGGCCTGAGGATCCCTCTTCTTCCTCCTTAGGTATGATACAAACAAATGCCCAGCTCGATCCTTCCTTTGTGTATCATCATCACTTCATGCTATGGTTTTAAGAACTGGTGGGCTTCTGTAATAAGCAGGAACAGTAGCAGGGAAGAACATCTGTCTAACTCCTTCCGCCTTGATAATCGGAAATATGATTCCTGATGCGCTCTGCAACAAATCAATTCATTTCTCATTACAACAACTTTCCTCTACGAAGTTCTTAAAGTTTTCAAAGGAAAATATGAATGGAAGGTGTTTTGTTCTGTTTTGTCTGTTCATAACTCACATAGACCAATCTTGCTCCAATCCAGATGCCTTTCGGAGAAGGAAATGGAAGCAGTAAGCGACCAACTCCGTATATTGCCACTGCAAAGAAATGCAGAACCAGACTTAATGGGCGAGGATTCAATCCCGAGAGCAAGGACACGGGTCCATTTGAGAATATTCCTCCAAGGCTCAAATAATCAAAGCAAGCTTGTCTCATTTCCTTCCTGGCTTGATCAGGCGATGCACAGAAGACCTTGTATAATGCCCCTGCCAATGTGTTGATTGTAGAAGCCACTGGCTGCAGTTTGAGACGAATAAATTAGTTTTACTAATGGCCTTCTGTGAAATTGCTTTTAGGAAAAAGCAAACATAAACTAAAATTATACCTTTCGCAGAGTGTAAAAGGATTCTAGATACTTGCAGAGAGTTGGTGCATCATTCAAGTCCTTCAGTGGCTTGAGAAGGTTCCTGAGCACAACAATATCAGACAAAGCAACTGTCATTCCTCCACCCGTGAGGGGGTGGCGCATGTTGAATGCATCACCCATTAGTAAGGCACCGGGCGTCGGTTGGGGAGCAGCAGGCATGCTTCTATTTGGCATTGTCCTTATATTACCCTTGTCAATAGCAGCTATAAAGGCATCATGGATTTGCGGAGGAACCTGTACGAGCAATGATAATTCATTAGTTCGAAGCACTAAATTTAACACATAAATGTTAAGATGAAAGTTGGCATGAATGGGACTGTTGAAAAAATTGTACCTGAGGAGCTACTATGGTCTTCAAATACTTTTCCATTTCACCATTTGATATAGAAGGAACCTTCTGACCAGGAACATCAACCAGACAACGGATCTCGGTGCTACTGATGGGATAGAACAAAATAGGAGAAGGATCTCCGAGAACAACATGTCCATGATTTGCAAAAGGAAGTTGGCAATTCTCCAGAACCAATCCCACAAAACAAGATGGAACATCAACCTGCAAAAGATAGAGATGATAAAGGGCTCGGAATTTGAAGAACGTATTCGATAATTTCATGCAGTTAGCAAAATGAAATCGTAAAGAGAAAATCATCGTCTATTTTGAGGTACCACTGAATAATTGAAGCCTCCTTACCATAGGCTTGCAAAGAGAGCGGCGCAAATTTGAGAAGCACCCATCACAAACAATGGTCAGAGGTGCATGCGCTGTTTTTTCTTCACCATTTTTAGACTTATACTGCACACCTTTGATCGTTCCCTTTTCTTCAAGCAACGAAGTAACTGTTCCTTGCTCCAATCTTACACTACAAAAAATGGAAACAGAGCAAATAAAAAGTCACATTGACGAGTCAAATCCAAGTAGTTATTCATTATCCAATCACAAGAAACACAGACTTGAATGGTGAATGAATGGCAATTGTTGAACTCTCTGTAACCAGATTCATACAAAGCATTCCTTACAATAGTGTGGAAACTTCTCCTTAGCAGATGCGTTTTAAAAATCTTGAAGGGAAACTAGGAAAGTCAAAAGAACAATGTCCGTTAGCGGGGCATGGGCTGTTACAAATGGTATCAGAACTAGACCGGGGCAGTGTGCCAGTGAGGACGCTAGGCTCCCAACAGCTCGACCGGAGAGGAGCGAAGGCTGGCCTTGTTCACTCTTCGTTCAGTAGTTCCGTCTCATACTAGTTGGAGGAGATCTCTCGAAAAGTCAGTAGTGCCCATTTAGAAGAGTAGATTGTAAGATTCTACATCGGTTGGAAAGAGGAACGAAGCATTCCTTCCAAGGGCGTGGAAACCTCTCCTTCGCAACTGCTTCTAAAAACTTTGAGAAAAAAGTCGAAAAAGAAAGTGCAAAGAGGATAATACTGCTAACGGTGGATTTAGGCAGGGCAGCTATAAACCAAACTTAAAAGAAATTTGTCTTAAATCCATTTACTTATGTAGTAAGGAAATATAAAATATGGCTTGAATCATTACTTTAAAAGATCGGGCCATGGGACATTCGTAACATCTTCAACAGTCAGCACTATAGGGGGTTATTTAACTCATACTCTTAAAAATTCAAGGTGCGGAAAACAAAGACGAAATGAACATACTTGGGAAGGGAAGCAGCCTTCTCCCTCATTCTCTGTATGAAGCGTCCATTGTGGAAGCTTCTTCCAGATACATCAGACTGAAATTTTTCCAATGGGTAAGAAAGTTGAGTGTTCTTTCCATCCTTGAAAAGGGCATAGCCATACACCTTCTGTGCATCAATTTCCTCAACACAATCTGCAATACAAACATGTATTTTCCTTAATTACTGATGAATATTGTACTTCGAAAGAAAATAGAGTTGTAAAAGAAATTTCCCCAGGCCAATTACAAACCTTGCAGTCCTAACTCAATCAATTTGAGGTAGCCCCCAGGCTGCAATAATTCACCGACGATTCTATCAGGCTCTGTCAAGTCTCTTTCAATCACGTGAACTAGACGACCATCCTATCAAATTCGATATGATCAGCTTGGTTCCAAAGTGAAATATGAGGAACAACAAAAATGGAAAAATAAATAAATAAATAAAACCAATAAGAAGAGGGATGTGGATATAAACAATCCAACCCCAATAATTAACTTCTTTACCAAAAGGAAATTCATAT